CGAATAGTTCAGTTGCCTCTATTGGTCCCCTTCAACCAGCTGTGGTCGGTCGGCACTCTACGGGGCAGTCATCAGAGGAAGACAGCGATCCACGCCACCGCAGCACGGAGCTCGATAAGAACGACAGTTAACAGTCAACACCCGTGACACCACGGAACTCAACTTCGGCGATGCAGAACTCGGCAAAGGTCGTTGCTCTCCGGATGGCGGATAGTAAGTATCGCTGACATGCAGTCTCTGAAACATAAGTTCCAACTGGTGTTTGCTTCAATAGGGCAAACATAGTTCCAAATAGCTTTGGGTTACAAACAAAAAGCAAACCCCGCCAGTGGGATGCGCGGGTTGTGTGTATGTCTGGTGAAATGGAGCCAATGGGGGTTGTATCAGACCCCAGCCATTAGAGCGGATCACCGAGATCAGTCGGACAGCCGCTGTCGGGTCAGCGTGCCCGCGTCGAGGCGCCGTGCGATTGCCCCATGGTCTGCCGTCGGGTCAGCCCGCCCGTGTCACCGGTAGCGGGGTGCCGTCCGATTGCCCAGTTACAGTGGTCCGTTCACATCAGCTACCATCCACACCGGAACTGACGCAAGTGGAGCGAAAGTGTCGAGCTAAAATGCTACCATTTCTCAAGCTTCCCAGAGCCAATCGGGCAAAACTCTGTATGTGCTGTGGACTGGTGGGTCATCAGGGTCGTCGGGTCGATGGTTTTTCAGTGACTCAGACTCTGATTCTGGCTTTACAAAATTGACTCAGACTTCGGTTGCATCCCCTCTGAGCAGGCACTGCATGGTGACTGATGCTTTTTCACTTAAGCCTGAAGTACTTGCACCTGCAGTACTTCAGTCGCCGAGCTGGTCTCCACTGGTCCTTGTTAAAAGCTATAACAGCTCCTAAGTCAACGAGCGATACCAGCCGTTTGGGTTTGTTCAAGCCAAGATGCGCACCACCCTCGCTACACACGCCGGCCGCCGTTCCCGCTGCAGCAGTGCGCCTGTGCAGGCTGGGTGCGGCACCCGCTGGACTCTTGGGGAGAGTGGCCCTCTCTCTCTCTCTCTCTCTCTCTCTCTCTCTCTCTCTCTCTCTCTCTCTCTCTCTCTCTCTCTCTCTCTCTCTCTCTCTCTCTCTCTCTCTCTCTCTCTCCCTCTCCGCGGACATCCGTCAATCAGCCTGTCGGGCCCCGGGGCCGGAGTGGCGCACCAATCCCATAACCATTCCGCACAGCCGGCGCGCTGTCTTACCATCAGCCTAATACCACACCGGTGTTGTTGTTCGATTACCGCCTCATCACTCTGAGCGCTGCCGGAGGACCAGGGGAGAAAACGCGTACAGAAATCCACCGTACGTTTGATCCAGACCCGACCGACCACCGCTACTGCCGCTGCGGTTGCGTTGGTAGTCCTGGCTCGGAGCCAGCTGGACTGCCGGCGGAGGCCCGTCGCTCGAAGCCGACCCAACCGCCGCCAGACTGGGGACCCGTCGCCGCAGTGTCTGGGCCCGATTACGGACCGCGGCGGCTGCCGGGGACCTGCCATCGCTGCGTCTGGGCCCCAGTCCGGACTGCGGCGCCGCACTGGCGGCCCGTCGCCGCAGCGTCTGGGCCCCAGTCCGGACCGCGGCGGCGGCGGTCCGTCAGCTGGCCGCTAACGGGGAGGGGCCGACGGTCGGCCCGGCTCACCTGAGTGCCCGCCAATCGATACTCGGGCGGGGGCGGGGGCGGGGGCGGCCGGCTCGTTCACGCCGACCGGCTGCTAGGTGCCGTCTAACGACCGCCGATCAATGGCGAACGGTGCACAGCTGAGCAGACGGATCAACGGTCACTGACCACTGGTCAGGTGGCAGCGGTCAGCGACCAGTCACCAGTAGTCAGACGCCAATGACAGCTGGAAAGTTGTCAGTGGCCGATGCTCTGAGGTACTCAGAAGTCGGTGGTCGCTGGTTTCTACTTTCTACCGATCACAGACCAGAAGTAGGTTCACCCATAGAGCCGCCTTAGCCGCCATTATCTGCTCGGTCCACAGAAGCTGTCGGTGATCTACGTGCGGGCGGACCGCGACACCTAGCCGCCACTTGCCACCACTGCGGCCGGACCGGGTCGGCACCGGGCGGGGCTACGGCCTCCACTGAGCTAGTTGGACACACCTCTTCAGAGGACGCTTATACCAAGGTATCTGAACGTTTTATTTTCGAATAGATATGAATTAGGAGAGGACTCAAATTATACCGTCCAGAGTGACAGAGCGATTGAGGCATAAGCTGACATTCGCCCGTGACCAGAATCATCAGTGGACCGTTTGACTGGTACTCCAGTCTCCAAGTAAGTCATTAGGCGCCTTTGTTTATAGACATTTGCCAGGTGAATGTTTCAAATGTAACAATAGAGCGTGCCAGTTGTGGCCACTTTCCGTCCAATAAAAAATAAATGATAAGGCCTACAAAGAGGCAGTACGGCTGGGCCGGCCCGAGCAGCTCGCTCCTGCGGTAGGCCGTCCGTCCGTCGGGCGGGTGGCTCGAGCGGCCCGACCGGTGCCATTGATCGCAGTCCGGATGGCGACGGCGACGGATGAGAGTGTTACGGGCCCCCGACGGACGGCCGAGAACGGCGCGGAGACGGAGGGAGAGAGCGAGGGCGGAGAGGGAGAGAGGGGAGAGACCAGGGGAATGGGCGGGGCCGGCGGCAGATGATGGTGGCAGTGATCAAGATTACTTAGAGATAATACCCACGGAGATGTGACGGAGATGTGCTTTATCCAATGTGTAAGAATCCGATCCAATGTGCTATACATCCGTAGCCATATTCAGCCCGTATATGCCGACGAACTCACGGCGCTTATTCAGCTCGCACTCAGCGCCGGGGCAGTAGAGCAAAGGACTCTAGTAGAGCACGCGGCTCCAGTGCCAGATGACGCACGGCACGACTCCAGTGCCGCTCGCCGGCCACCTGTGTATGAGCAGCGATCCAGTGTGCGACCCACCACCCACTACCACCCGTATATGTATAGTCGATCCAGCCTTCCATCCGCACTGAGCCCCACCCGCGCAGCCCGCGTCACCGGTCCGACGGCAGCGCCGGCGACGCGCGTGCATTCAGGCTACCTCGGCCGGCCGGGACTGCCGGGGATCGATACGCTGTGCTGGCTCGGTACCGGCGGCGGCGGCGGCGGCGGGCAGGTGGGAAGCCAGACACCACTGTCCAGCCGTCCGCAGCGGCCGCCCGGTGACCGCTGCCGCACGGGGCTTCCTTAACCAAAGGATGGTCACCGCCAGTTGCGCGGCCAAGTTCCACCCGGCAGCGCGACAACTTCGGTACCGGCGGGCGGACAGTCGGGTGTGCTCGTCAATGGAAATGGGATGGTCGGTACGAGTGAACTGATGGCACTCGTCGTAACACCACTGGCACATGGTACTTGGATTTGAGAGCAAAGTTGTATTTTGCCAGCGTTCGGAAGTAAATGACAAGATACTTCGTCATCGGCATTGAATGTCAAGGTGGTCGATCTAATTGCTTGCAAGTACACGAAACCTGCGTCCGAGAGGCAGCACTCAACCACTCATACATTTAACCCTCGCATGTGTAGGGGGGGTCGGATGGACCCCCCCCCCCATGGTTTTTGGCAAATAACTCGCGTAAAAAGCGGCCGATCGCGACGATCGGCCTTTCAGTACCCTCACATTGATCAATTTTACACCTAACCTGAAAATTTCATGACCCTGACCCAAATGACCTTTGACCTGTGACCTCTTTTCCGAGACCATGTTTGGCCGGAATCGCGATTCTGCGTATGTCGGCTCGCATTAGCCGCGCGTTTGCAAGCTTTTCGTGGTTTCAAACGTTCAAACATGTGATTTGATGTTGCTTCCATGCATTAGGGTGGGTGTCAAGGTCACCTGAAGGTCAGGTCAGGTCATTGACCTTTGGTGACCTCGGGTGACCTCGGTTCACTTTTTCGGGCTGTACATGTTTCTAGGCTAGTTTTTGGAGCTGAATTCGAATTTAGCAATCATTTGAACATTTATGAAGTAGTTTTGGTGCCTTCGTAACATGTTACGAAGCTGTCAGAGGCGGTTGACACGTACTACGAATACCCGTCACGACGCCTACTGGTTGACCTGGCCTGACCTGACCCGACCTGGTCTAAATGCTTAAAGACATCATCTGTGATCAAAACTAACACGATATTCGTGATCAGCACCCCGAAAAACCCCTTAGCAGCCACACTTTACGACTTTCTAACAGGTCCCGATTTTCCCGACTTTGGGTCATTGACCTGACCTGGAAGGTCAACCAATGACCTAGGACCTTAAAATTGGGTATCATCGGTTTCTTCTTGTCACGGGCAACACGCTCGTTTTTTCCGCGAAGCTCTAGCTCGATCAGGGGCCAAACGGCAAGGGGGGGGTCCAACCGACCCCCCCCCCCCCCCACTACACATTAGAAGCTGGCAAACGCCGCACACATGCGAGGGTTAAATAACACTGATGACGTAAACCTGCGCTTTTGTATGAGCTCCCGACACAGATCGTTTACAAAATGTGTCTTAGGATAGATGATACCAGCAGCGGAAGCGTCCACTGACTCGGGTTTGGGCAGAGGTGTCCGTGGACTGACCAGTGGCCCCGCAGAGGTGTCCGTGGACTGACCAGTAGCCCCAGAGAGGTGTCCGTGGACTGACCTGGGGGTTGGGTCGCAGTACCGTAGACTGACCTGGTGCTGTACAGAGGTGTCCGGTGACTGACCTGGGTTTGCCGCACGGTGACCGTGGACTGGCCTGAGGTGACCGTGGACTGGCCTGAGGTGTCGGTGGACTGACCTCGGGTTGGGCCGCAGAGGCGACTGTGGACTGACCTCGGGTTGCCCCGCAGAGGTGCCCGTGGACTGACCTGGGGTCGGGCCGCAGAACCGACTGTGGACTGACCTGGGGTTGCCGCGCAGTGCCGTGGACTGACCTGAGGTGTCGAGGGACTGAGCTGGGGTTGGGCCGCAGAGGTGTCCGGTGACTGACCTGGGGTTGCCGCGCAGCGCGGCGTGGTGCAGCGCGTTGAAGCCGTTGTTGTTGGCCAGGGTGATGTCAGCGCTGTGCTCCAGCAGCAGCGACACCATGTCGTCCCGCTTCTTACTGATGGCGTCGTGCAGCGCCGTGTCGCCGTCCTGGTCCTGGGAAAAGGAAGGGACGGTCAGTACAGCCGCTGCTAACGGGTAACGAGCATGGGGAAAGCTCGGTTCTGGGGGAGGGGGAAGATCGCAGCTTCGCTAGCGACGATTGGTTTCAAGACGAGCCACAGACAAATGATTAAAATATGGATTCGATGAAAAAATCATCCATGTATTCATTCAACACCACAAACGTAGAAGCATCGTTGTGATTTTATGTGGAAAGGATTGCATCTTACTCCACACCAATAATCATCGCCTTTCTTAGATCGCCGACCTGTGCGACTATACCCTTTCGGGAACCATCTATCCAGCTACTGATCATTTTCGATAGAAATTAACTGCAGATTTGCGAGCGCATTTAGTTTGGTCTGTTCAATATACCGCCGTTAGGAACCGAACTAGAATTAGCTAATGAAATATAGAGCCGCACGGTGTGCTGGAAACCCATAAGGAAGTTACACGGGCGCCACATCCAGCTCTGAGCCGCCGCGGCGCAGTGGACGGCCCGCCCGCGGCCGGGGCCGTTCGGACGCGGCCCGGGCTCGGCCTCCGCCCGGGTTAGGGAGGGCACTCCGCCCCCGTCCGGGGAGGAGGGGGGGTGGGGGGGGGACACTCGGCCACCCAGCGCCGACACTGATTGGATCAGACGCCATCAAAGCGGCGGGCCGACCACCCGGCCAGCCAGCGACCGTTCGCCGCACGCGCTGCCCCCCCCCCCCGACCCACTGACGCACAGCCCCCTCCCCCCCCCCCCCCCGGCCGAGCGGCTGCATTAATAACACGGTCCCGGCCGACTCATCAGAGAAACGGTAATTTGGCTGCACCAGGCAGGAACCCAGCACTTACGTGTGCCACTCCGACTCAATATAAACCGCCCTAATTTAGTGCCGAGTGGCTGAGTTCAAAGAAAGAGACATAAAATGTCGTGCATATTGGATGTTTAAAAGACCCAGAGATGTTAACGTTAATGACGGCAGTCACGTCTTGACAGTGATAGAGTGATGCCTGCTGCTCGGATCGAGCCACCCGGTCCAAATTCTACCAGACGGGGCTCAGAGACGGGGCGACGTCAGGTCGGAACGACGCTCATTCATTGTCACGATCAAGTTCATGAATAAAGTTATCATAAAGAAATCACACAAAATATCGTCATATTAGCAGAAAAACACCCACGACTATTTTTTTTTTCTTTACAACTAATGGAATAACAATTCAACTTGCTAGTACACACTAGACAAATATGCGCGTTTTGTAGGGGGAATCGATTTAAAAGACATTTAAAAAAATATGTAAGCGCGTATGTTAAAAAAGAGAAATGGGGACCGTCCGGCGCCCGGACAGAGCAATTTCCAGGTCCTGGATCCCCATCCATCTCCGGCGGCCCAGCGGACATTAATCATGCAGCGCGGCAGCTCTCCTGGCGCCACGAGGAGAGCGCTCAGCGGGGAAGGACGCGGCAGAAAAACGGAAAGAAACGGGAGGGTTTAATTCATTTTCGAACATAATTTCTGCTCCCTCTGTCTTCTCTTATAACTCTTCTTTCATAGCTGTGGCCGCATTCGAGCAGAATTCGTGCGCAGGCAGGTGTACTACAGCAAGGAACATACAAGAACTTCGAGAAGCTGCAGCTTATCATGACCTTGCGTAACGTTCCTTAACCAAGATACCTAAAAGACGTACTCAAACATAAAGAGTTTCGACTTTTTAAGAGTACAGATGTGCTAGGCAATTGAACGGTTCTGGGCCATGACAATGACGGTGAATTGAAATATTGCGTGACGATACTTTTTAAAAATTCATCATTATCGCAATCATACGAAAAATGGTGTGCATAATTATGGAGGATTAATAATAATTAGGCATGGGAGCAACATCAAATCACATGTTTGAACGTTTGAAACCACGAAAAGCTTGCAAACGCGTGGCTAATGCGAGCCTGTTGTCAGTGATTGTCAGTGATCCTGTCGTCAGTGACCGACCTGGAATCTCGAGTGGCAGCCGTTCTATCGACCGTCGACGGTGTGTACCCCGAACCAGTGACTGACCTGCAGGCTGGGGTGGCAGCCGTTCACTCTACATTCAGCAGCTACCCTGGCGTCCGTAACTGACCTGCAGGCTGGGGTGGCAGCCGTCCTCTACATTCAGCAGCTACCCTGGCGTCCGTAACTGACCTGCAGGCTGGGGTGGCAGCCGTTCCCTCTACATTCAGCTACCCTGGCGTCCGTAACTGACCTGCAGGCTGGGGTGGCAGCCGTCCTCTACATTCAGCAGCTACCCTGGCGTCCGTAACTGACCTGCAGGCTGGGGTGGCAGCCGTTCCCTCTACATTCAGCTACCCTGGCGTCCGTAACTGACCTGCAGGCTGGGGTGGCAGCCGTTCCCTCTACATTCAGCTACCCTGGCGTCCGTAACTGACCTGCAGGCTGGGGTGGCAGCCGTCCTCTACATTCAGCTACCCTGGCGTCCGTAACTGACCTGCAGGCTGGGGTGGCAGCCGTCCTCTACATTCAGCTACCCTGGCGTCCGTAACTGACCTGCAGGCTGGGGTGGCAGCCGTCCTCTACATTCAGCTACCCTGGCGTCCGTAACTGACCTGCAGGCTGGGGTGGCAGCCGTCCTCTACATTCAGCTACCCTGGCGTCCGTAACTGACCTGCAGGCTGGGGTGGCAGCCGTCCTCTACATTCAGCTACCCTGGCGTCAGTAACTGACCTGCAGGCTGGGGTGGCAGCCGTTCTCAGATACCCTATTGTCGGCGGTGTGTACCCCGCACCAGTGGGCAGTAACTGACCTGCAAGCTGGGGTGGCAGCCGTTCTCGAGCAGCGTCTGCACCAGGTTGTAGAGGCCCTTGTTGACGGCAATGTGCAGCGCCGTCTGGCGGCGCTTGTTGCGCGCGTTCGGGTCGGCACCGGCCTGAATCAGCTGCACCATGACGGCCGGCTCGTCGCCGTGCGCGGCATGGTGCACCGCCCGGTCTCCGTCCTTGTCCTGAGAACAGACATACCGACGTGACCACCTATACACGGAGACAACACCGCCCGGTCCCCGTCCTTGTCCTGGGAACAGACAGACAACGACCAGTCAGCCACAGACACATACACCGTCCGGTCCCCCAACTTGTTCCGAAACAGACAGTCACACCGCCCGGTCTCCGTCCTTGTCCTGGGAACAGACAGACAACGGCCAGTCAGCCACAGACACATACACCGCCCGGTCACCGTCCTTGTCCTGGGAACAGACAGACAACGGCCGGTCAGACACAGACACATACACCGCCCGGTCACTGAACTTGTCCTGGGTGGAAGGACAAGACACCTAACAGACTCCCTCACTAACAGACACACCGACCGGTTAGCTACCTTCGCCTGATCAGAGACAGGCATACACCGGCCCGGTCCCCGTCCTTGTCCTGAGAACAGACCACCGACCGGTCAGTGAGCCTCTATACAGACATACGCCGCCCGGTCAGTGATCATATCCTGCACACAGGCACCACTATACTAGAATTACACCACCCCTCCCCACTGCCGATCTCTCGCTAGCCCGTGCAAACCGTCGGCTCAGTTTTACATCACACGTTCACCTCTCATTTCAGTAACTCAATCCCTCCAACCCACTTCAATCTCATCTTAACACTGCCATCCCATCCTACCGCCCCCCCCCCCCCGCCCGCCCGCCGTCTCATCCCTGTACATATTCTGTATCCCCCTCTCACCCACCCTCTCACTGCAGTTATACTAAGACATCACACCCTCTTCCTCAACCATCCTTTCAGTCCTCTACAAAGCCACCTATCCTCTCACCTCGATTTCGGTGTCGACTTTGTGCATGAGCAGCAGTTTGATGACCTCCTGGTGGCCGTTCTGGCTGGCCGCGTGCAGCGCCGTGTGCCCGGCGAACACGCCGTCCCGCGACGCGTCCGGACGCTTCAGGATCTCCTCACACTTCTGGATGTCGCCGTTGGCGGCCGCCTTCACCAGCTCCTCGTTCACGTCGCCGGACACTTGAGAGTCGAACAGCTTCTTCAACATGGCCGTCAGACGCTCTGCGGATGGGCGAGAGACAGGGTAAGGTGAAAGGTAAGCGATCAAAGCTGCAGCCAGAGCTTGGGCAATCTGCTATACAGCCAAATCCAGGATCGACGCTTATATTAAGAGGTCGTAGTTGACAAAGAATGACAAAGAAGCCGAGGATGGCTGATAAGATATTACAACAAAGACCATGAGCTGGTTATCTCACACAGTCCATTCAAAGCACGATTTACTAACTAGTTAGTTGAATTAAATAAGCGCACAAAAAGTAGTTGGCAGATGTCGAAACCTAGATGACAAATTACCACTGATAAAATATAGAAGCGCCATCTAAATAACGCTCCCAGGAAAAGTCCACGCATGTTCACCGCATCTTTCAAACGAACACCAAGCTCAGCAGACGGCCCTGCAGTGTCTCCATCCCCCCATCCGGCGACCACACTCTCTGCCGCTCATCTCCGCTGTCACCGACCCCTCAGCCCCCCCCCCCGACCCCTCAGCCCCCCCCCCCCCGACCCCCACCGTTCGGTCACCTCCGCTGGATGAGGACGCCACCGATCCCTCGGAGGCCACCTTGGTGACGGCCAGCGGGTTGTAGGTCCACGAGGTGCCGCACACCTCCACCTTTAGGTCGTTGTCGTGGTAGATCTGCTGCACACGGCCGATGTTGCCCAGCGTCTGGCGGCGCGGCCGGACCAGGGTAAGACGCAGGGACTCAGGGTAGAGAGATGCGCGGGGAAAGGGGATGCAATTATTGGGGAGAACTGACCGGGGTGGATGAGAGGGAACTGTTGAAACAAAATAAATTAGTCGGGAATGGAGAAAGAAAGCGAGTAGGAAAAAGTTGGTCGTGGAGGTTTATTTGGGGCGGAAATTTGTCAAAACAAAAACCAGTCGCGAGCATGATGAAATGAGCTGAAGTCTGAACCTAAGCACAAAATTTGCCATTGAGTCAAGACTTAATTGGCCACCCACTCTGCAACCAGCAATGGCTAACTTCGTGCGACAGAACTTCGGCGACAACACTCAAATATCGGACCGTCACTAACCACGCGCACACAGTCCCCACCAGCCCTTCACTGGCGCCTCCAGTCCCCACCCCCGGCAGCCCAGCGGTCGGCGGTGAGCACGGCCCTCCAGCGCTCCCTGGGATCGTCGACTCACCGGCAGCATGGCCTCGGCCCACTCTCCGTGGCCGCGCTGCAGCACCTTGATGCGCTCCAGGTCACTGTGAATCTGAACCAGGTCGCCGACGGCGAACTGGCTGCCGGCCGACTCCGGGCCGCCGCTGCTGGCGCTCGACACCTTGTTCAGCGCGCACGGGTTGAACGTCCAGCTGACGGCGGTGAGAGGGGCAGTGTGGTCAGAGCAGGGGTGGTCGGCGGCGGTCAGTGGGACAGTGTGGTCAGAACAGGGGTGGTCGGCGGCGGTCAGTGGGACAGTGTGGTCAGAACAGAGGTGGTCGGCGGCGGTCAGACGTCAGTGTGGTCAGAGCAGGGTGGTCGGCGGCGGTGAGAGGGGCAGTGTGGTCAGAACAGGGGTGGTCGGCGGCGGTGAGAGGGGCAGTGTGGTCAGAACAGCGGTGGTCGGCGGCGGTGAGAGGGGCAGTGTGGTCAGAACAGGGGTGGTCGGCGGCGGTCAGACGTCAGTGTGGTCAGAGCAGGGGTGGTCGGCGGCGGTGAGAGGGGCAGTGTGGTCAGAACAGGGGTGGTCGGCGGCGGTCAGACGTCAGTGTGGTCAGAGCAGGGGTGGTCGGCGGCGGTGAGAGGGACAGTACGGTCAGAGCAGAGGACGTGGTCGGCGGCGGGAGAATTGGATGGGAGGGGCTGACAGAATCGGGATAACAACAGACTCTGTCAGCCCCTCCCACTGACTGTTCAGGAAATTGTGCCTACGAATCAAATAAGAAAACACGGAAATCATGTAAAAAATACAGCCGAGAAAAACATACCGCGCAATAACATACCGGTATTAATCGCGCAACCAGGTCACCATCAAAAGGCATCTTCTCCTTTGAGACACGGGTCACAAAAGCAGCCGAGTCGCTCCCACCGTTCGCCCCAACCACTGCCCCCTGTCCCACCCCGCCGGGTGTACCCCACATCGCTCGCCGCCGCCGCTCACCGGTTTCCGCTGGGGTAGGAGACGACTATGTCGTGGTCCTCGTCGATGCCGACCACGGTGCCGGCCGTGCCGAGACACTCGAACATGCCGTCCGTCCAGCCGCCGTGGCCGTACTGCAGCGACTGCACGATGTCCAGGTCCAGGTCCACGTTCACCTGTCGGGGCCAGGGCGGACGTTAGACCACGGTAAATACATGACCAGTGGAGGGGAGGGGGAGTCAGCTCAGTTATACAGTCAGCCGAGTGATTGAGCATTTACCAAACCATGGAGGATGAATGCGGAGCTAGCCAGAAGGCAAATCACTCACACTCAGCGAAGTAACAAAGAAACTGCAATGAAACCCATACAAAGATAATGCTTATTTCCTAGATCAAGAAAAAGGAAAAGCGAGTGGTAATGGCTTAACTGGGCTCTATAACTGCCTGAGCCGGGAATATGACATAAACATGTGAGTTTCAAAGCAGCCGCACAAGTTTCCCAGTCCGTGCAGCGGCTCAAAAGTACCGACTGACCTGGTCGCCGATGCTCCACCCGTGTCCGGCGCTGCGGCCCGGTCCCTGCTCCCCCAGCAGAGGTAGGTGGTCCCGGTACACGGTGCCGCCCTTGGCGTCATTCACCACCTTCAGGTCGGCCTGCGCGGGCATACAGTCAGAGCTGGTTAGTGACAGTGGAGGGATATGGAGGAAGGGGGAGACCGTGACACTATGGGCGTCATTGACCACCTTCAGGTCGGCCTGTGCGGGCATACAGTTAGAGCTGGTAAGTAGAGTGCTTACAAACTGCGGAATGGATGGAAGGAGGAAGAGACAAAGATGGGTATAACAGAGCGGGGGAGATAGGAAGCTAACAGAGAAGGCATCGACTGGATTACATGCGTACATAATTTTTTTCAAAGATGAACTTCGTGTTTCATGCGTTAACAGCTAATGGTAACGATCCTCGGTCTAGACTGGTCTAGACTTGGTCTGTACTGTCCATCGGTCGCCCGATCTGCTGGCACTAAACTGCTGCCACTACAATCAGATGCCAGGGTAAAACGTAATCATTCCACACCACATACACATCACCAGTTCAACACCATCCCAATCCCTGCTCCCGCCCTCCGAGACGGGCGCTCACCATGCCCTCGAAGCCGACCCGGTAGAGGTTCTTCTGGCCGTTGTCCCAGATGACGTAGGCTGCGGAGCGCGGGCTGGCGGCCGACCAGTCCTGGATCTCGGTCACCTTGCCCCGCCGCCCGTTACCGCCGTCCTGTGGACAGCAGCGGCGGTGGCCGTCAGGTGGCGTCGAGCGGTACAGGGACGCCGCCGCTGCCGCTGCTCATTCGGGCACCGGTCGAAAGTAAACACTGGTGCAGCGTCAGGAAAAACTTTAGATACGGTTAGCACTGACCATGAAGCGAAATATCAACACCTAAAAAAAAAAAATATGATAGGGACTTCTTGGCTGGGAGGTTGGGGACCTTCTAACAAGAAAACCGCGACCATAACTGCGACCATAAGTTATCATAAATGCGACCACAGCCGACTATTACCATAACTGCGGCCACGCAGCTGATCTGCACCGCCAGCCTAGGGAGCAGTACGACTCTCACCTGGTCCTCCCACTGCCAGTCGACGCCGCGCACCACCCGAGCGCCCGGAAAGATCCCCCGCACGGACGTCTTCTTGCTCTTCCGACGCGGCTCGACCAGCACTCTGGAGGCAGGCAGGCAGACAGTGTGAGCAGCTAGTGACATTGTGATGCGCGAATATTAGCCGGTAATATCGTACTGCCTTTGCGTGCTCACCACCCTGCCTTCGTGAACTCAACAGGAACTGCAAAATAATAACTCACTTCGCACTACGTGTTTCGGTCTTATCTAGGCAAGGAAAATGCAATCTATGGATTCAACAGGAACACGCTTACACAGTTTAATTACCAACTCCTTAAGAACGAGCGAATTACGAACAAAGCCGATGCTTAACATTCTCCAAGTTCACACTTCGCATTTCCGAACAAAACACTTTAGCCCCTCGGACCAGCCGGCTTGCATCCAGACCCTGAACAGCGCATCAGAATCAAGGCGTTCTCTGATGCTGAGTGAGTGCTGAGTAGGCGTGCTGCCATCTACATACAGCTTCCTTTCCTCGTCGCGTGCCTGCCATCCGCTCAGCGGCTCAGCTCAAACTCCGACCCTGCTGAGGCCCACCATGTCATCCACCGCCCACCCGGCTGGACCGGATGGCCTTCCCTCGCACCCTCCACTGTCCCACCACGCCTCGACGAGGGGCGGAGCGGCCCAGACTCGGCCGAGCGGCCGGCGGCGGCCGTACCTCTCTGAGCCGGGCGCGGGGCGGGCGCCGTATATACGTACCTCTCCGAGCCGGGCGCGGGGCGGCGGATGTACGTACGGGGACCCGCAGTTGCTACTGTACACGAACCCCAAGTCTAACAGTCTGTCCTGTCCAGTAACAACCGATAACATTGATATCGACTGCTGGTCCCTGTACAAGAGCAGCTGAGGTTTCCTGTGAGTACCCTCTGACAGCTTATCGTTGTTCCCTGTGAGGGTGCTGGGACAATTTACTCAGGGTCGCTGTACAGTAGCAACTGCGGGTCCCTGTACCTCTCTGAGCCGGGCGCGGAGCGGGCGTCGTACGTACCACTCTGAGCCGGGCGCGGGGCGGGCGCTGTACGTACCTCTCTGAGCCGGGCGCGGGCTGTACCTCTCTGAGCCGGGCGCGGGGCGGGCGCCGTACGTACCTCTCTGAGCCGGGCGCGGGGCCGCACCTCTCTGAGCCGGGTGCGGGGCGGGGGCCGTACGTACCTCTCTGAGCCGGCCGCGGGGCGGGGGCCGCACCTCTCTGAGCCGGGCGCGGGCTGTACCTCTCTGAGCCGGGCGCGGGGCGGCGGCCGCACCTCTCTGAGCCGGGTGCGGGGCGGGCGCCGCACGTACCTCTCTGAGCCGGGCGCTGCGATCCGGTAGAAGCGATGACGCAGTTGGTGCTTGTCGGCATGGTAACACACCGAGCACAGGTCGTAATTCGAGCAGTCGGCGCACTTCCAGCGGATCCCGAAAATGGGCTGCTGCCGGCAGGTATCACAGATAGTACCCTCGTGCTTGGTGCCTGTCGTACAGGGGCAATGGTCAGGTCAAATCGCCGAGCTGCGGTGCGCAGACCGCAACACACGCTCCGTATAGTAAAACCGCTCCGAACTAGCTCTGTGAATACAACCGTGAATGGTTGACGCACAGTATCTCATGACTGTGACACCACAAAGACATGCAAATGCCACCTTTGTTAACCCTCGCCCGCACATGCCATTTTCCCATCCTAGAACGCACATGGGGGTGGGGGGTGGTTGCCACCCCCCCCCCCGCCATTTCGTTCCTGTTGGAGATAGAGCTTAGCAGTAAAGACCAAAAGATTCTTTGGGAAGAGACGAATCCAATGATACCCAGTTTTACCTTCTCAGGTCAATCATTGACCTTCCAGGTCAGGTCAAACTAAAAAATGTTGCTGTTTTGGGTCACCGTTGGATATCAAGTGCGCTGCTTATCAAATACCGATGACGATGCTGTTTTCTGGTGCCAAGCCAGCTAGAACCTCTTTGTCACACTATCCGACCAGAATTTTGCTGCTGAGGTCATTTCAGGTCAAGTTAGGTCAAGGTCAATTATATGTGTTTGTATGTCTGTGTGTGTCTGTGTGTATACTGATGTGTGCACCGATTGTTTTTGGGTCCATATCACATGAAATCATGATCTGAGAAGCTTTTACCAAAAATGCAGTCAAAAAACTTCACAAAAAGTAAATTCAGCTTGCCTAAAACGCAATTATCCTAGATGACCTAGGTTGACCTTGACCCTGACCTTGACCCCTGTACATCGTCGAACAACATGTTCCATGATAGGTGGGAGGTAAGACTGGCAAAAAAGGCCGAAATCAGGGTGTCAAAAGCTCACAAGGCCCATGGCAAACGCAAGATGTTGAGAATTGGCCATTTGGGTCATGACATGACCTGAAAAACAAGGTCATATCTCCGAAACCAAAAATCACAGAAACTTGAAATTTTCAGTGGACATCAAGAAAGGATAGACGAGCAGCTATACGAAAAATCAGCCTTCTAGCTCTAAAAATGTTGAGTGCAGAGCAGAAAAACTACCTGGGGGGTGGCAACCACCCCCCCCCCCATGTGCGGGCGAGGGTTAAGACCCGAGGCCGTTACACTGGACGGCTCTGCATTTGGTTACTAGAAAGATCTTACGTTATACACATTTTCGAGCCGCAAGGTATGTCATTCAAACTATTTATAACCATTAGGGTGGTCCTTATTTCCATACAAAATTTTTATTTGTATTTTTTCGCGCTTGCGCCCCCTCAAATGATGCCATTCGTCTAGAAACGTGGAAAAAGAGCAAAAAAGCGAAATCGGCGGATGCTTTTTGGTGGCTCAATGCATATTAACCCTCGTATGTGTAGGGGTGGGATGGACCCCCATGAGTTCTCGCGAATAACTCACGTAAAAAGCGGCCGATCGCGACGAAACTTTCAGTATCCTCGAGATGATCAATTTTATACATACTCTGAAAATTTCATGACCCTGACCCAATGACCTTTGACCTGTGACCTATTTCTCAAGACCATGTTTGGCTGGAGTCGCGATTCAGCGTATGTCAGCTCTCATTATCCGCGTGTTTCTAATATTTTTGCGATTATAAACGTCCAACATGTGAAATGATGTTCGCCCCATGCATTACGATGGGTGTCAAGGTCACCTGAAGGTCAGGTCAGGTCAGGTCATTGACCTATGATGACCTCGTGTCACTTTTCCGAGGTATACATGTTTCTAGGGCAGTTTTTCGGGCTGATTTCGAATTTAGCATCCATTTGAACATTTACGAAGTAGTTTTGGTGCCTTTGTTATGTGTTACGACGCCACCAGTGGTAGTTGAGACCTATTATGGGTAGCCGGCAGGACGCCTAATGGCTGACCTGACCTGACCTGACCCGACCTGGTCTAAATGCACGAAGACATCATATGTGATCAAAACTAGCATGAAATTCGTGATCAGCACCCCCAAAAACAATACATCTTCACTGTACGAAGCTCTTGCTCTCGTCACGGGCAACACGCTCGTTTTTTCGCAAAGCTCTAGCGCGATCTGGAGCCAAAAGGCAGAGGGGTCTAACCGACCCCCCCCCCCCACACACACACGTTAGACGTTAGACGTTAGCGGAAAGTTGCGGCGTGATGGCCGTGGTTCGACCACGCTTTCGGGATGACAGAGTGGCTGTACCCATGCTGGGGCCAGGCCTCACGGCTCCGCGAAGTGGGGACGATTCGGAGCTACTCGAGGTTATGCTTTCCAGCTCCACTTGGTCGGCTGCCGCCCGCGCCTCCTCCGACGCGACGCCTTGCTCCTCCTCCTCTCTTCGGCGTCATCCCTCCTCCTCTTCCTCTTTTCTTGGGAATGGAGCGCCATGTCTGCCTCTGCCATTCTATCCCGTCTCCCTGGTTCACGTTGGGCGAGAAGGAAGGCGCGATCTTCCGGGATGGTTAGGTATCAAGGACATTGCATCACCGTGGGCGATATCAAAGATATTTTCCAGTTGTTTCTTGAATGCGTCCTCGTTGCTTGTTTGGGTGGCGGAAGTCCTGTTCTTGTTCTTTTTCAGGCGTTTCCACTCGTCGAAGAGAGTTTCCACCTTCTTGACCGCCCTCCCTTTGTGCTGGGTGGGATTCCTGGCCCTGGCCCAGAACTCCTCTACTATAGTACCTTCTCTAAGGTCCGGTTGGCCGCTTCCCGGACCGTTTCCTAGAGGATTTGGTGGCGGTGGAGGAAGTAGGCGAGAGATTGGCCGCGGGATGGGAGCATGCATAGGCGGTGGAACGGGGAGGGCACCGGGGCGCCGTGCCCCCCTTAATTTTGCCATTTTAGTAGCCCGATGGGCGTTGCATGGAAAGAATGGGACCAAAAGTCGGCAGTGCCCCCCCCCCCCCCCTAATTGAAGGTGTTCCGCCGCTACTGGGAACTTGGAGCCAAGGAGTTCATAACTGGGGGACACCATGTACCCAGAAGTTTGCGACGCAGACAATCGTTACACCTGAGGAAGAGGGAACGAACGTTGATCGACGAAACGGACATTGAGCGAACATTGACGAACGAACGAGCGTTGAACTACCCGTAAATAATGCAGTAGGGTTCTGAAATTTTGACAGACATGTTTTTTCGCTAAACGGCACCGATTGAAGGGGCGCAAGGTATCCAAATACGATTTTCGAAAATAAGGACCACCCTAATAACCATGAAGTATGTAAATCAAGTAAAATAAATGAAATAAGCCAACAAAAGACGGGATATTAACATCCCGCCCGCCGAGGTCAGCTACCCCCTTCCATTCCATCCCGGCCGGAGACCCGCCGTCCCTACGGACGTGTCCGCCGGCGGCGGCGGCGGCGTGCATCCCTCACCGGTGGGCGCGCTGTCGATGACACGCAGGTCGTAGGCGCCGGCGCAGCGGTAGTTGGCCGCCGTGCCGTTGTCCCAGACGACTACCACCTCCTCAGAGGACTCAAAGTTACGCACGGTGCCCACGTGGCCCTCGCCGCCGTCCTGCCGGCCAGCCGCGCGGTTACTGGGTGTCCGGGACACAGCACATAGCCACACAGCTGCATCGCACGGCGATCAAAGAGAACAACAGTCGGCTGCACAGTGAATGGTATACGCTCCTCGAGATTACACAGAACAAACACAAAGTTGCATAGAATCAGCAATCGGTAGTCCCTGGCATTAAAATGGCAAAACAAGTAAAAACATACTGAAATCCTTAAAACTTTAATGGAACAATTAAAGCACATATGATGCTAATTTGGACAGAACTAGATCACAAGTAAATAAAAGATCCCAATTCGACTGCACACAAGATGATCCACAAACTGGCAGCTAGGTACTACTCTTGGAGTCAGACGACGAGCTAGTTACTAGCTAACGATTACGTCTGGTTCGCACTGCTCCACTGATGGCGACAGTCGGTCACTGCTGCCCCCACCGTCTCCCAGTCCCCTCTCTCACCTGTTTGCACCATTTCCAGTCGGGGCCGCGCATCACGCGCGCGCCCACGCCCTCCATCATGATGCGCGCCGTGCGGGTGGGCACCACAGAGTTTCGAGCCGACACGCCGTCCATGGTCCGCCCCGAGAACTGCACCCGCCGGCCGGGTCACACAGCCTGTCACAAGAAACGGCTGTCAGCTCGCAGCCAGCGCGGCGTGGAGCGTTTGCCTTCCGGGCGATGGATGAAAAGGTTCACTGTGACAGTCTGTGGTTGCTCCGTGACGATGTTTCTGGTCTGATGTACCTACATTGGAGCGCTGCTAGGGTTTTCGGCAAAATATCACAAGAATAAGTAACAGGGTAGAATGATGAGTGGTGAATGGTCGCACGGAGCAGCTGGTGCAACGAAATAGATGAAGCTTCTCCGACAAAGAACTACGGGATGAGATTTGAGCTTATAATGTTTAAAATATACAAAAAAAGTCGTGTGTGGACGTCAGATGGCGAAAACGCCGCAGCAGCGGAGATGTCCATGGGCACCCGTCAAAAATCAAAGTGTGAGACAGTTGGAGCCACGGTGAACTCATTCAGCTTCATTTGATGCCCCAAACACGACCGTTAACAGAGTACAACTGCGGTAACATTCTGGCATTACAAAAAAACTGACTGCCGTGAGCCGAATTGCCACGAATAGGTTAGTTTTGGAAACCAAATTTGCCAGAAGCCAATGGTCGTGCCATGTTCAGGCATGTAGGTAAACAGCGCAACAGTGGTGAAAGCAGATTTTCTGTTTTTAGGAAGAATGCCTCATAGCCTGTGTACAGTTAGGATGTAAATCTAGTCGAAAATATATGTAGCATCTTCCGGCAAGAGGTAAATGAAAACCAGCTTACGACCAGTTTTGGCCTTTGGGACACCCGCAAAGCAACTGAAACCAATATCGGCTGACATTTACACAATATGTATATACTCCAGAGAACACAATCAATCCAGGCAGGTACAAATACACAATACATGTACCTACAATGTACATGTATATACATAGGTGGATATTACATACACTATGTATAATTGCATACATATATAAATACATATATCTATTTCCAATACCATGGTACTATATATTTAGTCAAGGACAGGACATCACCTGTGAGTAGTGCGGCTATCAGTACTCAGTATTGATGAATTAAACGCTCCTTTACAATCCCTTTCACTGCATGTTTGGAAGGAGGAACTGATTGAATTTGAGGAAACAGAGGGGTTATAACTTTATTCCAAACTCTAGGTGCTGTCCATGTTATTGCTTGAGCCCTAAGGTTTTTCGAAGATAGCGTAAAAACGGCGGCGGCACCAAATTTGGCACAGCCTCTGGGGCAACCTTTTTACATACGACCTGAAAATTTCAGGTCCGGGTGACCTTGGATCAGGTCACCAGGTCATAAAGACCGGTACAAGGTCATGGTCAAATTTCAATGTTCTTTTTGCACCTGTCCAACTCACAGTTTTGGACTGATTTCCTTCAAACTTTGAGGATGTGCTAAGTTCAACGAGTTGTATAACATATAGTTCGGGTTTTTTTTATGTCACTGACCTGAGGTCAGTTAGAGGTCATTACGTCGTAATGTTAAGCCTATGGGAAAATACTAAATTCGGAAAATACTGGAGATATCGGCTTTGTTCCATCACTTTTGTGCTTTGAAACCATAGTAATTAACAGCAGGTCACTTGGTGCTTCTTTGTTTGGTGTACTTATCCATGGGTCAGGTCAAATGAGGTCAACTGAGGTCAAATGACATTTTTGCCAATAACTTGGCACATGATGACGCTAGAGCTTAAAAACTGGTGTCATTGTGTTCCTGGTGATCAGCCGAATCGAACGATATGCAATATGCAATTTGGTTAACTTGAACTTAATTAATTAATTAAAGTTTACTTAAAAATTAAGAAAAACTTTAAGTACACTTAAGCAAGCAAAAAAGTATATCATTCGACGCGCCTTGACGTGCTGAGTTCACTGGTGCTTTTCTTTTTTTCTCTATCTTAATTAGATCAAAAGATATAAGCGAAAAACTTTTGACCTGTTTTTAGCGAAAGTTTTACATTTATACCCCCCAAAACCCCCCTAAAAATTGACCTGGAGCAACCAAATTTGCACAGGGGCGAGAACTCCAGGGGGCCCACCTACCTACCTAATTTGGTGTTTCTAGGTGCCATAGGAGCCAATCACGAAGGGGGGTCGCATCAACCCCCCTGCCAGGCCGTGTTATGAAAAATGCCCTGCCAGGGCGAGGGTTAAACTTTTTGTAAGTAAAAAAAGGTCTAGGAGATCGATTGCTCCTGCCGATGCGATGAAATCGAAACATCCGATCTATTTCATATCGTAAATTGTTGCATATTTTTCTATTCAAGATGAGTAGCATCTGTTGATTTCTTATGTCTTCTACTTTGAGAAACTTAAGTTTTTTGAAAATGTGATCAGCATGTGCCGTCTTTGGCTGACCATCTATAACTCTTACAAGTTACAACTCGTTTTTGGAGTTTTTTCAATTTTGGATAAGCTTGAGGCGTATTTATTGCTATAAAGAAAGCAACAGTAATTGACATATGACAAGAAAAAAGCATTGTAAAGCAGTAATAATTAATAAATGGTCATTAAGAAAATATTTCACTTTGGTAATCATACCAACATTTCTACCATAACACGGAGCATAGTTTATCAATGTGTGTTCCACTTCATATCATCATCAATAAACATCCCATGGTATTTAAAGGTAGTGTGCCAGCTTTCCTGGACCGAATGGAGTTAATGGCCCAGATAAGGAGAACCGGATTTTTAGAACTTATCCATACCTTCAAAACTCATGGAAACGTCTTAAATTCTTCAAATTTTGAGTACCCCAGTGCGAAATTCGCCCCGACGGGTTGTCGGTCGTACCCCAACCACATTTCACACCACTATGAACAATAAATGCACACACTGAAATCGCTATTACCGATAGGCTCATCCAATCAAGTTTCGATAAACCCGTTCATCATCATCTCCTGCGGTTTCGAACACGCCTGATAGGTGGTGCGGTAGACCGCGCCCAAAGCCAGGGCCCCGGTAACATGAGGTAGCCGAGTCGGGGCAGCGTGCGCTGACCCAAGCCGGGGCCGCGCGTCCTCCCGGTATCATGTGATAGCCCGGGGCTGCCCGCGGGGATGCGGTAGACCGCGCCCAAAGCCGCGGCCCCGGCTTGGATCAGCGCACGCTGCCCCGACTCGGCTACCTCACGTTACCGGGGCCCTGGCTTTGGGCGCGGCTTCTGCTCATACTTTGTGGTGCGGTGGTGGTGCGTCGGGCCGCGCGCTCTGACTTCGGCCAAGAAAAATGCGTCAGCTGATCATTGTCATTTCTGCCACTTTCATGTGGTGAGATGGGGTCATAACTTTAGAGACGGCTGTTTCATATCAGTTATTTTACATAAAATAATATTTCAAACCATAAATTAATGTTCGACAGCCAAATTAAAGAAACAATACCAATACAGGCTTACAGTTTAACCCTATTCCTGGCGGGGGGGGCCTCAGGAGCCCCCCCCCCTGAGGTTTTTTGGTTATTTCTCCCAAACGCGTTGAGCTAGGAAGCTCAAATTTTCTGACTTTTCCTAAAAGGCTTCTACGCAACATGTCTGAAAATTTTGAGTTGATCTGACCTCGGGTCAGGTCACCAGAGGCGGTTTGGTGACCCTACCTCAGAAAAGTTTGCAATCACGCCAGAGCTAGAGTTTTTGACCGATCAATTTCTTCTCTTCAGGGTTTAGTTAGGGTACCAGTATGTGCAATTTGTATATCTCGGAATTTTGATATCGGTGACCTAAGGTCAGGTCAATTTCGCGACCTCCCCATTATAAGTCAATGGGGGAAAAATCAACTCCCTGTTTTTACCACTAAAACGGGTCGGTATGGCCCCATATACCATACATGACTTCATATACGATCAACCTTCACTACCTTGAGGTCTGTTTTGCTGTTGGGCAGCTGTGAGGTCATGTGACGTCATCAAAGGTCACCAAAGGTTTTTGGCCAATAACTCCGTACAGGAACAAGATACAGACGCGTGGATGGTCTCATTGTGTTCAGCTCGTCAAGACGCATCGAATGATATACATGATGACCTCGAGGTCACGTGACCTGAGGTCAACCTTTGACCTTGACCTTTCGAGGTCAACATATATATCATTCGATGCGGATTGACGAGAGGATCACGATGATGCCCTTAGTTTGTTCCTATCTTGACTAATTCGAAAGTTATTCGAGAAAAACTCTCCATATCTAGCGCCGCCATTTTGACTTTTTCGACCCCTGTGACGTCATCTTTGACCTGACCTGAAAATGACCTTTGTAAAAATTGTAGATCTTGGCCGTGCGTATCCGATGCCGTTTACCGCTTGTCGCTATCTTGCTTCGTTCTCGAGATCTCAGGGGGGGGGCCGAATCGGGCCCCCCCCCCGCCAGTTTCTTGTCCCGGCGGAGCCCGCCAGGAATAGGGTTAAATTCGACATTGTGTTGTCTACGATTAGACAGCTGATAACTCATTCCCGTACGTCGTAACTCTATAATGACCTTTGCTTATTGTCACATGTGCGCCGCATTCGCGTTTGTTGCCGATGCCTGTTTGCAGGTCAGCCCACTACAGTTGTTATACATATCGAAAAACCGATAAACTTTTAGGCGAAAAAAAGCACTATTTTAGGCCCATTTTTGATTTTTTGCGATATCAGGTAAAAACAGAAGCTTCTTATCCTAGGAAAAACAAAATGGGAAATCATTGGAAGGTGGCACACTACCTTTAACAGTTCCAGTTTTTTATTTCAACACCTCCTAGTTTCAGCATAACATTAAGTTTGTCTTTCTTGATCTTGTTTGAGTATATTTGGGACAGGGTTTTATCAGCATTGACTGATAGCAACAGCTGATTTGCAGAGAACCATTCAGATATCTCGGGCACAATGATATCGATAGAACTTTGTAAATCTGCTTCATTTGCACACTCCATAAAGACTGCTGTATCATCTGCATACACATAGGCAGTAAAATTTTTGCTTAAGTTCAGAAAATCATTTATACATAGAATAAAACACCAGCGTTCAACTCCGTTCCACACCAGCGCCACTGGCGGATCCAGGGGGGGCA